GGCGAGTACAGGGGGAAGTGGAAACCAGATCATGGAGGGCTGTGAAGATCCTGACTCTCAGATAGCAGGTAGGGAGCAGTGGAAGCAGATGATTTTGTGAGCAGCCTTTTGGAGAGAGGAGAAGTGAGAAGTGGGGAAGCAAGAGAGAAGAAGAGGTGACTATGGCATAATCAGCTTTACAGACACTAAGATATCTGCTCCCTAATTCCTTGCTGTCTGTATTTTGTTTTAGGGCTCTAAATGAGAATATGGCCAATGGCATTGAAGATCTTATTGGGATCCCATTCCCAAACCACAGCAGTGAAGTCCTTTGCGGTTTAAATGAACAGCGGCACGATGGTCTACTCTGCGACGTCATCCTCATTGTCCAGGACCAGGAGTACAGGACCCACCGGTCTGTCCTTGCAGCCTGCAGCAAGTACTTTAAAAAACTCTTCACTACTGGCACTTTAACAGACCAGCCCTGTGTTTATGAGATTGACTTTGTCAAGCCTGAAGCACTTTCTGCTATCCTAGAGTTTGCCTACACGTCAACCCTCACCATCACCGCCTCGAACGTCAAGCACATCCTCAATGCGGCCAAGATGCTGGAAATCCAGTGCATTATCAATGTATGCCTAGAAATCATGGAGCCCGACAGAGAAGCCGAAGAGGAAGATGATAAAGAGGAGGAAGATGAGGATGATGACGACGATGAGGATGATGAGGAAGAGGAGGAGGAGGAGGAAGAAGTGGAAGATTTTGTGAATCGGGAGAACCTACCAGATGTCCAAGAAGTACGCTGTCACCAAAGCCCTTCAAAGTCAGACCTTACTGAGGAAGCCTACACAGAAACACCTACAGACTTCCCAAACCATTACCCAGCCAATAGCTCTGCCAGCCACTTGGGCATGATACGAGACTTTTCCATCGAGTCCTTACTAAGGGAAAATTTGTACCCTAAAACAAACATTCCAGAAAGGAGGCCAGCCCTATCTCCCTTCCCACCAGGCTTCTTTCCCCACCTGTGGCATGGAAATTTCAGTTCCTTTTCCCCGCTAGAAGAGCAGCAAGTGGACAATGGCCCTTTGGACCTGGTGATCAAAAAGAGGAAGATTAAAGAGGAAGAGAAGGAGGAGCTCCCTCCAGCCCCTTTCCCTAATGACTTCTTCAAGGACATGTTTGCGGGCACTCCGGGAGGTCATTTAGAGCACATTAAGGCGGAGAACGACTACAGTGCTTATCTCAACTTTCTAAGTGCCACCCACCTGGGAGGAATGTTTCCTCCATGGCCCCTGGAAGAAGAAAGGAAGATAAAGCCTAAGGCATCTCAGCAGTGTCCCATCTGTAACAAAGTCATCATGGGAGCAGGGAAGTTGCCACGGCACATGAGAACCCACACGGGAGAAAAGCCATACATGTGCACTATCTGTGAAGTTCGCTTTACCAGGTGTGCAGCGGGTAGTATTGCTGGATTTCGCAATGCAGCAATAAAAGGGGGCCAACACCCTAATAAAGCGCTGGTGGATTTATCGAATCCAGCCCTACAGGTTGTTAGTCATAAATGCTATTTACAGCAGCTGCTTCCTGCGTGTGAGCCTATGGCACGCTAGGGCCTTAAGCAGAAGAGGAGAAAGATCTCAGCAAAGCAGCTCCATAGAAACACAGGCATTTAAGGCATGTTGCCTTTGATTACAGAATAAAGTGAATATCAAGGAAACAGGGCTGTCACAAATCCCGCTGATGTCAATGGAAAGACTCCCATTGATCTTAATGGGTTTGGGATCTGCCTCTGGTTATCTATAGGGGTTTGTCTAGACTACAGGGTTTTGTCGACAAAAGTGGACTTTTGTCGACAAAACTATACCTGCGTCTACACTGCTGCCGAGTTCTGTTGACATAACGTCAATAGAACTCAACAGTGGTAAACCTCATTCTACAAGGAATAATGCCTTTTGTCGACAGAGTTCTGTCGATAGAAGGCGTTATTGCATCTACACTGTCCTTTGCGTCTACACCCATGTTGACAAAGCGGCTTGCTTTGTCAACAGAACTGGATGTAGTCTAGATGCTCTTTGTCGACAGAAGCTTTGTTGACAGTATCTGTTGACAAAGCCTCTGTCGACAAAAGCCTGTAGTCTAGACGTACCCCAAGATAGCTACTAACTAGTCAAGAGTGTAAATAACAGCATATAACATTTTCCCGCCAGGTTATTGTTTGCTGATGTGGAATCTACTGGGGAAGCACTGCAGAAACAAGTGTGTGACCAAGGTCGCTGAAACAAATCAATGGATGTTTCTGGCTAAAAGGTTTTTGGCTATCTGGATAATCTAGAAACTGATCCAAAACTTACTGAAATCAATGGGAGTCTTTGTGTTGATTTAGTGGCGTTTGGATCAGGACCCTATTTTCTTGTACTTCCCCAGGAAGCCTTGTTTATACATTATGTCAGAAAGCATGCTAATTGGAACCAGATTAAACATGATTATGGCTTGGGTGTGGACCACAGCCAGCTACCACATGTTCAAACACGACTGTCCTTGTCCATACGAAGGCTGAAATTATGCTGATTGTAACATTGTTTGCTGTGATGTTGTGGCTGTGATGGTCGTAGGAAAGAAAGAAGGTAGGTGAGGTAATATCTTTTATTGGACTAACTTTCTGTTTGGGGGAGAGATAAGCTTTTGAGCTTACATAGACGGACTTCTTCCTGGACCTGAAGAAGAGCTGTGTGTAGCTAGAAAGCTTGTCTCTTTCGCCAACAGAAGTTGGTCCAATAAAAGATATTATCCCACCCACCTTCTCTCTCTAATTATAACATGTTACTTACCAGGTTTTCTAACAGGGTGCATGTTTCCAGTGGAGAAAAGGATGAAATCAGCAAAGACTGGGTGCACACCCTTTGCACCTTGACGTCAACAAGTCCCTAGGAAGATATAAATGAAGGGGGAGTGGGGAATAAGGCCCTTTGTGCTCTAAGTCGGTGACACAGAATTGATGCTGCACCATGCAGCTCTTCTCTGAAAAGCTTCGCAAATTAAATCCATGAGCAGAGGAAATACATTCCTGGATCTGTTCTTGCTGGGCATAATTAATATCTCACAAGTAGAATCTTTACCATAATAACGCTTTCTGACAAGAGGATGGTATTTCAGCTTCTGGCTGTGAGGGAGAGAAATCTCTGTTAGGCTCTGGCAAGTGTGCTGTTTGAAAATAACATGAACAGTCAAAAGAGCAGAGTGCCTGACAATGGGCAGATACCTGGTGTGCATCAACACTCAGCCTGCCTTTCCTTCCTTTGTCCCTGTGCTAATATTCAAATGCAGGCTATCAGAGGGGAAGGTAAGGCTGTGCTCCCTGGTGCTTTGCTTGGCTAAGAACCGGCCGCGCTCCGGCAAGAGCTGGCTGGGGCACTCTGCTTGTAAAGGAGCTGGCTGGGGGCGCTGTAGAGGACGCATGTGCACTCCCAGCCAGGTTTGTGAGAAGGGCTGGTGGCGGCAGCTGCCCCCATCTGGTTGTGGCGACCTGGCTCCGGCCTCCCCCTGGCAGC